TCCCTCCTCCCGCCCGCCTCCACCTCTCCAGCGCCACCACCAACGCCCCCTCCACCCCAGCCTGCAACCAGACCTTTCCTAGACCATGAGAACCTGGAGCCTCTGCTTCCTCCACGGGCCTGCAGTGCCTTGATGGTGCCACCCACCAGGAACTAGGGCTGCTCCCTCTACTCGCAGAGAGATGCTTGTGGGAGAGGTGACCTGATCCTGGGATGCCCAGGAACTTGTTTCTACATGATGATCAGTGTGTTTGGGTTTTTCTCCTGGATACAAGGAATTAAGAGGTTACAAAGTCGCAACAAAAAGGAGGTTACACTTCCTGCCCACAAAGGAGCTCGCAATCTAGAAGGGAAAGACGAAATGGACAGGAATCACCATCATTCAGCGCCTGCCTACTATGTGCCAAGTGCCGAGTTTGGTGGTGTTCTGGCAATTCATCCAATAAGTACTTAATTACATCCTGCACTGCACTGAGCCCTGTGGATGAAGCAGAGAACTGGTGTTGTGGATGAGGAGAGACAATACAATTCCAATAACAGCACGTGTGCCATAAGGGAAATACCTCTTTTAATCCTGATACAAACCCTGATGAAGGGTAAATATTATCATCCCCATTTTACAGATAACGGCTCAACAAGGAGAAACAGCTTGCCCAAGATCTCTGAGGCAGGGTTTGAAGCTAGGTCTGAAGCCTGTGTTCTGAAGGCAACATCCACCTAGTGGAGAGGGTTGGAGATGGAGATGGCTCGTCTGGCAGCTCTGGACTGAAACGGCTGGGCCACAGCATCATGAATGGCAAAGGTTCCTTGCTGGAGCTAAAGCAGAATAGACATCCACTTGGAGAGCGCTGTTTTCACAATTCTGAACCAGCCGGGCACAGAGGCTCATGCCTGTAATCTCAGCATTTTCAGAGGCCCAGGCAGGAGGATCACTTGAGCCGCAGGAGTTTGAGACCAGCCTAGGCAACATGGCAAAACCCCAACTCGACAAAAAGATACAAAAATTAGCCAGGTGAGACGGCATGCACCTGTAGTCCCAGCTACTGGGGAGGCTGAGGTGGCAGGATCACCCGTGCCTGGGGGGGGTTGGGGATGAGGGGGGTGAGAACATGTCACGGCATGCCAGCCAGGGTGACGGAGTGAGACCCTGTCTCGAAAAAAAAAAAAAAAAATTCTGAACCAGTTAAAATGGGAACAGACCCTGTGACTAGGAGTCAGCATCCGACAATCCCAGTTGGCAGAACTTCCCTCAGTACACATCCGATCATTCATTCACTCATTCAACACACCCTGAAAGATCGCCCTGCCCTGCTGGAAGGGCCCATCCCGGGGGCTGTGGAGGTGCAGAGGAATGTGAATTAAACATCCATTCCCCTGTTCCAGGAGCAGAAGCCCAGGACAAGGCCAGCCCATTAAACCTACTTGGCCCAAAGAAGAAGGAAGGGGGCTGGGCAGAAGAGGCAGGAGGGCAGCTGTTGGTGGCTGTGTGAGGACATCACCATCACTGGAGGCTGTTAAAATGAGTCTATGTGCTTGGGTCAGCCAAGGACGTGGCCAGCATCAGCTGCTGCTGCTCTTAGCTTCCCGGCCCGTGTCCCTCGGCTGGCCCTGCTCCTCCCTCCAAAGAGCAGGCAAGAATTCTAACAGGGTGAAACCAGGACAGTGGCTGGCTCATACATCCAGGGGAAAAATGATCTGAAAGCACCGAATTCCATGGGACAGACGGGCCAGGAAAACCAGGATGCTCAGACAAAGGAGACCTGACAGCAGACAGCAAATAGCATTCCATCTGGAAGTATGACAGGGCAGGAGGAGAAGCTGCATGCATCGGCCCATCCTGCCCTGGCTAGTGCATGCCAAGGCACTGGGAGAGGGGGACCGTGGAGAGTAATGCAAACTATCACGCCCCAGGAGGCCTGGGAGCCAGGGCCAGAGGGTGGGGAGGAGCTGCAGGTTTCTTAAAAGACCCAGGAGGACAACCGTGACATATGACCTATAAGCCAAATATTTATAAATGGATTCAGATCTTCTCCTCGGTTGATGCCTGTATTTATACGTTCCTTCATTTAGCCCTAACTCTCCTTATCCCCCTAGTAAGATCTTATAAACGAAATGCACACACACCAATACTTCCAGCTCCATGAGGTCAGGAGGCATTTCATTAACACCAACTCTCCTCTACGTGCCTGGTCCAGCAAAGACCCAGGCAAAATGAGGGCTGATTGGCTGATTAAATGCACTATCAGGGGAGAGTTTCTAGTTAAAACAATTTATCTAGATCCTTTAAAAGCAAAGAATCCCACAAGAGTAAACATAATTACCCTTTAATGTGATCTGGTTTTTAGTTGGAGTTTCATCTTTTTTTTTTTTTTTTGAGACGGAGTTTTGCTCTTGTTACCCAGGCTGGAGTGCAATGGCGCGATCTCGGCTCACCGCAACCTCCGCCTCCCGGGTTCAGGCAATTCTCCTGCCCCAGCCTCCTGAGTCGCTGGGATTACAGGCACGCGCCACCATGCCCAGCTAATTTTTTGTATTTTTAGTAGAGACGGGGTTTCACCATGTTGACCAGGATGGTCTTGATCTCTTGACCTCGTGATCCGCCCGCCTCGGCCTCCCACAGTGCTGGGATTACAGGCGTGAGCCACCGCGCCCGGCCTGGAGTTTCATCTATTTTATGGAACACACCCTTTTTTAAATACCATGACATAAACAGCTATGTACTTATAGAAACTGTTCTCTCTTCTCCCTGGGCACAGAGCTAGCCCCACCTCTCAGCCTCTGTGGCAATATCCGTGGCTGTGCGCCTGAGTTCTAGCCAATGGGACGTGAGTGGAAGTGGGTGTCCCTTCCAGGCCTAGTACGGAAATTCTCCTGCAGGCAATTCTATTCTTTTGCCTGGTGCACTGGCTAGAAGTGAAAGACTCCAGCACCCCTGGAGATAGAGGATGGAGTAGCCTGGGTTCCTGAGTCCTCATATGGAATGCCACTCACAATTTGGCATTTGGACTCCTATATGAACAAGAAATAAATTTAAATCCTATTAAGGCTGGGCGCAGTGGCTCATGGCCATAATCCTAGTGCTAAAGGAGACCAAAGCGGGAAAACCACTTGAGGCCAGGAGTTCAAAACCAGCCTGGGCAGCGTAAGTGAAATCCCAGTCTCTACCAAAAAAAAATAAATAAAGTAACATAAAATAAGATCAGCTGGTCTTCAGAGGGACAGAACTAATAAAGAAAAATAAATCAAAGCTAAAAAAATAATAATGCAAAGAAAGAACAAAAAGTAAAAAAAAGAAAAAAAAAACCCACAAAATAAAATGAGCCAGATGTGGTGGTATGAACCCGTAGTCCTAGCTACTGGGGAGGCTGAGGTGGGAGGACCACTTGCATCCAGGAGTTGGAGGCTGCACTGAGCTATGATCTCATCTCTGCATTCCTCCTCGTGTGACAGAGCAACACCTTGTCTCAAAAAAAAAAAAAAATCCTATTATGCCACTGAGATTATGTTATGGCATTGACCTATTACAGCACCCAGCACTAGCCCAGCATGGGCACTTATATGCATAACATGGCTGGCAAGCCAGGCTTGGGTAGGGGAGGTACCGGTAAGGGTTAAGTTTTAATATATGGGTAGGGGCCGACGCCAGGAACGAAGATAAGGAGTTCTGAGAATTCCTGGTATGCTTGGCTTGGCAAAATTTTTTGGAATCCCCCATTCCCTTTTCCACCTGCAACTTGCACCTGGCCACAGATACTCTCCACTTACCGTTCATCAAGTCTCCCCCAAAGTGGCTACTTGACACTGGGGTTTAACTGATGGCCTCAGATTATTTTCAATTAGAGACTGAGTGAATGCATATCTTTCTCTTTGAACTTTTTCCTGAAGCTAATAATTTCCCTGAATCTTCTGAGCTTGCCATCGGGTCTGACAAAAAGCTTACTGGGCGCCTTGTTCTGCCTCTATTTCATGCAACCTTCTGAAGTTCTCTTTTATATCCACATCCATCAATCCTTCCCTTTCTACTGCGTTTGGGTTCTATCTGTTTCATGCATCACCTCCCCACATTCCCTGCCTGCATCCTCCAGTCTCACCCTGCTCTGCCCTGTTCCCTGTTTCTTTTCCAATAAATGGTTTCCTTCATCTTCCATGCATTTCCTCCCTTCCCAGTGCTCCAACCACAAGCCCACTTATTTTCCGAGACACACCCCTCCCCATTAATCTTTCACCTGGGAAAGAGGGGCTAAAGCCTTCCTTTCTATTCTTGTCCATCTCTGTCTTGGTTAATTAGAGCCTTGTGAAAAGCAAACTAAAACTGTTCAACTCTCTGTTACGCCCTGACTCCCCTGTCCCTTGTGGTCGTGGCCCACCATGTGATCACATAGTTCCTAATCTGTTATCATGCTAAGAGGGAAGAAAGTCCCCGACATCTCAAAAGAAAGGAAGCACAGCAATTTATAGAAAGAAAGTGCTTAGTCAAAAGTATACTGCAAGCATTGTCACTGATTTGTTCTCAACTTTTCCCTCATTAAACTTTTCATTTTCTGCCATAGCAAATATAAATCAACTTCTAGCAAGTTTCCTGAGACATTTCAAATACTTGCACGCTCCATTCTTCATTCCCTTCTTCCTCTAGGCATTTATAATTCTTATAATTCCAAAATTACTTGGGATCATTCACAACAAAAGGCACACAAATAATAAAAATAACTTATAACATGAAAAATATATGAGCCACGGTAGCAAATGGCAAGGTCCATGAATCTGCGTATCCTAGGTTAAGGATACTCCTTGTCACTGAGTGCAAAACTGAATCCTGAGCTAAGCGCAAACAGAGTTAAAGACAAAGCAAAAAGGGAAACAGAAGAAGTGACAAAGAACTCAATGACAAAAACTAGAAAGCATCCTGTACCTGCTTTGTTACTCTTTGTTACTCGAACTACTTTAAAAATATTTCTTTCCATCCTGCCTTTGCTAAAAGGATATGACAGTATAAAATTTTTAAAAAATCATTTTTGTGAAAATAAAGACAAGACATGCTAAATGGGATATGTGTGTGGAAGGAAGACTAATTCTAACTTTCTTTTAAAAGCCTAGACTCACGGGAATGAACACAATTGAGTACAGAATTTAGCTGTGACCTTCCCAGCACCCATGGCAAAGAGGTAAACACAAGAAGATGATAGAGCTGAATTTTTTTTCTAACCACAGTTACAAGATAGTCACTTCGTAACTATGAGAAGAAGTTGTCTTATGGGTCCTGTCAGTTCCCTTACTCTTTACAAAAACTCTTCAGGGTTTCTATCATGTAATCTTCAAAATCTTTGGCCAACTCTACCATGCAGTGGCTTCATCATAAGACCCAACTCTCTGCCTGCACTGAGGACATGACTTTATCCTTGGATCCGAAGTTTCCCAGGCATTTAGGTACCGTGGCCATGACAGGCCTCAAATCAGCCACACCAACTGCAGTGTCACCTACTTATTTTTTTTCTTTCATTCTACTTGCATTTTTACTTAATAAGTTTTGTTATCCAGGGAAATCCCTACTTTTCGGGACTAATAGCCTCGAGAACTGTTTGTATTCCTTCCTGGCTGTGAACAACTTCTCCTTTCTCGCATTCCACCTGAATTCCTCCAAACCCAGCTAAAGTTTCATCTCTTCTGCGGAGCCTTTCCTGATAACTCAGCCTGAGAGCTGGAACGTCCTCCGTGGAGCCCAGGGCTGGCTCCTGCCTCCTACTGCACAGCCACTGTCCTCAAATAGGCAGTGGCATAGCTTCCCTAGCAACCGAGCACATCGCAGATGCCCCATGCACCTGGCAATGTGGCAGGGCTAAGCGATAGATGTGGGCCACAATGCCTGAGTAAGTCCCTCTTCAAGCCTCAGTTTCTCCAGCTATAAAATGGCAAATGGGCTGGAGAAGACGGGGCTCTGTATTCTCTGAAGTCTCTGCCATCTGGAAGTCCCGCGTTCTTTGGCATCCCCCAAATGCACCCTGACTTGGGTGTTTTCTGCTGCTTCAGTTTTCCTTCCAGGGAGTCGCACTCATGGGTCTTTTAGCAATGAGCAGCCCTACTTCAGTTTTCCTTCCAGGGAGCTGCACCCGTTGGTCTTTTAGCAATGAGCAGCCTTTCTTTTCTCGACAGCCCTGCTGCACCTCGCCTCTGCCCAAGGCAGGCACATCCCAGAGTCCTGGACGGCCTTATGACCCCCTCTCTGCTCTCAAACTGGACTGGTCTCTGCCTGTTCGAAACAGACTATTTTTAGCCCCCATTTCTGTCTGCTCAGTTTTTCTGCATCCCACCATTTCTATGGCATCTTCAGTAACGCACTGAAATTTCTGTCGCTGTTGAAACACTTAGTCTGTTCTTGATTTTGGACATAAGCCACCAAGTCCTGGACTGTCCACTGACAGAGCTGCTCCAGTCTAGTTGTGGTTCTGCCTCCTGGCAGGCTCTGCACCTCTGTGGACATGGCTAAACCTCTCTGGGCCTTGGTTTCCACATTTACCCAACAGAGACGGCACCTGCCCAGGCTGACTCCAAGTTAGCAAACGAGACCATGCCATTCCAAGTGTGGCCATAAGCACCTCTTCCCTCCCACTCCTGGCTCCTCCTGGGACCCAGTTCATGTCATCCCCAATGCCACACTCTGCTTGACCAGCTAACAAGGCCAGTCCTGGGAAAACCTTTCCTCCAAAGCATGTGGACAGCACTTTAGAGTTCACAGATCACTTTCTCATATGCTGTCCTTTGAGGCATTACAAATGATGACCATTTTCCAGATGAGGCAGCTGAGGCTCAAGCAGCTCGCCCAGGACATGCATCCAGGTCGTCAAAAACCAGACCTCACGCTCCCCATCTGCAATAGGCTGGGGGAACGCTCGAGAGGCCCACCTGAGCTGCAGGTGTTCACACGCAGTGGTCCCAGAACCCACACTCCCACTCCTCCCCACACTGAGGGATATGTGGGCCATTGTCACCTCCCCACAAGGGCTCACTCCCACTGTAGTAGTGCGACACGGGGCTGTGCAGGTGCACATGTAAGCTTCATGGGGGTGGTGGTATAAGGAGGCAGGGACAAGACCCCGGCGAGGAAGACTGTGGGGGACAGGGCTGTGTGACACTGCTTCATCTTGCCCATAAGCTGTGGCTGAGGGAGCAGACAGTTTCAGAGAGACGTCACCCAGGCTGGCAGGGAGGGGAACATGTCTGACGCGGGCATCTGAGTCATCCTGGCTGAGGAGGAGGAGGAGGCTCTGACTCTCCCAGCAGGGGCAAGGGCGAGAGCCTGGGGCAGCAGCTTGAGGTCCTAGAATAAACCTGCACATTTGGCTTGAGCTTGCTGCTCTGTGGATTCCCTTGCCTCCCGGACACCAGGAGCAGCCACACTGGCGGCCTGGGCAGAGACCCCCACCTGGGTGATCTCTACCCGGGCACCTCTCTTCTGACCATCAGAGTCCCCTTTGGACATTAAAAGGGTTGAACTGGACCACGCCTGAGGTCTTTTTGAGCCCTGATGTTCTAGGATTCTAAATCTGCACAATATTTTGGTGCTTATTAACAATGTCAGACAGCGGAACATTATTTATCTTATACATGGGCCAAGTGATAACAGACATTTCCTGAAAGGTAAAGATTCCCCAGGTGAAAAATCCACCCCCGGCGCGGTTTCTCTCCCTGTTACCAGCTGAGTGGGGTAGGGACAGATGGCTGGTGGGTACCCACAGGCTCCATTCTAGTTGTGGTCCTGCCTCCAGGGCCCCGCACCAGACTCCCTGAAGCTGAATGTGGCCACATGACAGGTCCAGAGAATGGGACAGGGGTCTCGGCCACTTCCAAGAGCAGGTATTTCAGAGGTGGATGTGCCTCTCCACACTTTGTGCCCCATCTGCCAGCTGGAGCACAGGACTGTTCTGGGGTGGCGCCGCTGAGCCTGGGGTCTCTCACGACTGCAGCCGCACCCACGCTCACTAGCTAATGTGGCGGCAGGGTGCCCTGGTCAGTCTGTGTTGTGAGTAAATGTGGGGTGGTTCCTGTTGCTCGTCCACCTCCCCTGCTGGATTCTGGGCTCCCTGGGGTTTGGGGTCACATCTGACTTTTCCTCCTGTCTCCAGGGCCGACCTCAGCACCTGACTCAATACTGGTTTGTTGATTTAAGAAAAATGCACCTTCAACAGCCTCTCCCAACCCATCTGCTCTTTGTGGTCCTAGAGTTGGAGGCTGGGTGCCCAGTGGCTGTCCTCACTCCCTGGGAGGGGCCCTTCCAGCTCCATCATCTCAGACCATTGGAGAAAAGGGGGGCTTCGTGACCACCTCCTCCAGAGGCAGCCTGGGGGCAGCTATGGTCATCCTGCTGACTGAGGGCATCCCTGGCATACGGCGGGTGTGGGCTGGGCAGGCTGAACATCTCTTGATGGGCAACAGTCCCCTCCATGAAGGACTGTCCTGCCCAAATGCCATGAGTGTCCTGACATGGATGCTTGGGACCCTGACACTTCTTGAGTCATTTCCCATTTTTTCTCCTGCCCCCTTTGCCCTGCCATTTACTAAAATCCCTTCTGTTCCCTGCCTGCTCCTTGCCTGCACCATGCTCTCTCCTTCTCTCTTCTATAGAGAGCTGGCTGCTTCAGGCAGCCTGGAATGGCATCTCACAGGTACTGGTGCCCACACAGCTGTGTGGACATGGGCAGCGTGGGCTTCTCCTCTGTACACAGCCTGCCCACCCTGCCTTTCCCCAGAGAGAGGCTTCCCAGGGACATAGGCTCCTACAGGGGCTGCTGCCAACCCAGCCAGCTGGACATTGATAGTGTGACACACACATGGACTCCCACCGGCAAACAGCCCACCCCTGGCCAGTGCGGGCCCTGCCCCCTTGTCACGCCCCCCCTGCTTCCTCCCACCACATCCGTGTGCTGGCAAGAAGCACAACTACCCAACCCCCACCCCCCACACATATCCATGCGCTGGCAAGAAGCACAATCATCTGCCCTGGATCCCTGTGGTGCCGGCCACACTGGTTATAACTGATTTCTTCCTTCAGAAAGGCCCCGCCAGGCAGAATCTCCTCCCTTGATCTGAGTCCACTCCTGTACCTATGTTCTCCCACCTGCCCCTCCCCAGGCTGCTCCTTTTCAACAGGGCGGTTCTCCCACTGCTCCATGGCCAGCCTGCCGTCGGGTCCCGGTCATGGCTAACTTACAAGAGCAATTACCAGAACTTCCATGTTTTCCCTTCCCCAAGTCGTGCCCCTTTAGCAGAGCTGAGAGCAATACCACAATCACTGCCACCAAGTGGGGCAGTTCAGCACAGAAACATGGCCCTAGGGTCCTCCTTAATGGGATAAAGCGTAGAGGCCTCACTGTCTTTGATGAGGCATGCAGGTTCTACTCTCTAATGATATGACAAAAAAAAAAAAAAATCTACATTTGGAGGGATCCACTCCGGCCCTCAGCCTCCCAGGAGCCCTGGGCTTCTTTCTCAGTCTGAAGCAGAAGCACACCCCCTGGCCATCTCCCACCAGAGGATCTAGCTCTCCCAATCTCCCCTGACTCCTCCTGCAATGGCTCTCCTGCAGGGCCCTCCCTGGCCAGCCAGACCTCAGGGTCATACAGGTTTCAGCTCACATGACTGCACCCCTGTCTCCTTCCCTTCTCCACTTCGTCTGATGACCCTCATGATGGGTCATCTAGGAGCCATACCCCCAACCCCAAGTGCCATCTTCCCCTACCCCCAAGCTGAGCGTAAAAGAAAGCACCCCAGAGTGCAATCAGCCCATTGACATTTCCAGAAGAGGGTTCTGGAGAGCATCAATAAGCAAACACAATAAAGGGGGAGAGGGGAACAGAGGTGCAAGAGAGTTTAGGGGTCAAGATTTCTGTACTGCAGAGCCTCCCAGAGCCTTCAATGCACTCACGGGCAAGTGGATTTCCAAGAAGAGGATGCAGCATGCGGTGTGGCCCAGACTCACTGGCAGGCTAAGCTTTGTGACATGGGACCTTCTAGGAACACATCGTGGAAAAAACTATCTGAGTCAACCTTGGGTATTATAATGTTCTCCAAAGGGCCTTGATATTGACCCAAGGAATAGTTAATAGAGGCCAGGCTGGTTTCTGACTTTCATCCTTCTGCAGGCATTTCCCAAGCAGTGTTTCCTAAAGGGATCATCTGAAGTTGAGCCGAGAACTATGTAGAACTCTCCCTTCCCCCAGCCCCACAGCTTCAGCTTCCGGGTTCTGAACATGGTTCTGGACATGGAGAAATAGAAAGCGGACCCTCAGGCACAGTGCTAGAGGACAACAGTCCTTAGTCTGCGGTCCCCGTGATCTCCAGGACTGTCACCACTCATGTATTTGCTCTGCATCTTGGTTTCTGTTTTTGTAGAACATGGATATTATTAATCTGTGCCTCATCGATCCCTGCTGAGAGGTTTAGATAAAAGATGGAGACTGGGTTTGTACCAGTACACTTCAATGAAAAAAATATTTCCTCAGTGACTCTAAAGAAACATTTTTGCTAGATTTCACATACATGGGCAAGAACTAGAGACTCTGAGGATTTAAGACCTATTTTTGGGTCGGGGGGAGAAGATCAGAGAGGGGCAAGTTGGGGAGGTGGTGGTTAAAAGGCAAAGCAAAATAAAACAAAAAGCCAAGTAATGAGTGAGCAGGCTCTCCCCAAAGCTGGTCTTCAGGCTGGTCTCATCCTGAAACATGCCAGTGCCTTACAGGTACATCCCAATGGGCAAAACAGCAGGAGGTCGAACGGGATTAAAATGTGAATGTCATGACTCACCACATTTACATAGCACTTTACAGTTTAATACACAAAACACTTTTATACACATGATTCCATTTGAGCTTCATATAATCCTTACCTAGGAGCCAGAGTAGAAAGGGCTCTCTGATTTATAGATTGTGAATCAATAATTAGGTGGCATGCTCAAGATCACCCAGCTTACTGGAAAACCAAAAACCAAGATGGAAGCCTTCTGCCTTCCTGCCCACTGCCCCTCATTCCTCCTGCTGAACCCACCAGACCAGGGGTACGTGGCTGGTAAGGATATCAAGGAATGAATGAACAAATCAACCAACCCATCATTAGGGCACCATCCCAAGAAGCTACATAGTCGCTGGCACACAGGGGGCACGGCTTGGGTGGCACAGCGGGTTGGCCATCTCCTCCCGGCCCGTTCAGCTCATTCACTGCAACAGGGCCATGAGCAAAGCAAATGTTTGTTAATGGACACTCCTATCACATTCGCAAAGCTGGGCAAAGCGGCGAGATGGTGTGAGGTCTCAGAGCCTAGGCACAGCTTCCTCACGGGCGTGTGGTCATTGCTCAGCATTTAGGGCCCTGGAGCTACTGAAGAAATGTGTTTTTTTTTTTTGAGACAGAGTTTCGCTCTTGTTTTCCTGGCGTGATCTCAGCTTACTGCAACCCCCCCGCCCCCTGTTCCAGCGATTCTCGTGCGTCAACCTCCTGAGTAGCTGGGATTCCAAGCATATGCCACCATATCAGGCTAGTTTTTTTTTTTTTTTTTTTTCTTTTTGTATTTTTAGTAGATACGGGGTTTCACCATGTTGGCCAGGCTGCTATCGAACCCCTGACCTCAGCTGATCCACCTGCCTCGGCCTCCCAAAGTGCTAGGATTACAGGTGTGAGCCACTGCGCCTGGCCACTGAAGAAATATTAGTAAGACGAGGATGAGGCCTGTCATGGGCAGAATTTGGTCCTTCCTGAATTCAGAGCGGAATTCCTACCCCCAGTACCCCAGAATATGACTGTATTTGGAGATGGGGCCTTAAAGATGTAAAATGAGGTCGTGTGGGTGGCCCTGATCCAATGCAACTGGTGTTCTCTTGGAGAGGAGATTAGGAGACTCACAGAGGGACTATAGGAGGACACGGGGAGAAGGCAGGTGTCTGCAAGCCACGGAAAGAGGCTTCGAGAACACTGCTGGTACCTGGACTTAGGACTTGCGCTCTTGGGAACTGTGAGACAGTAAATGTCTGTTATTCATCGGTGCCCCCAGTTTTTGATGTTTGCTATGAGGGTCTTGGCAAATGAATACAAGGCCCAAGGTCAGGCTGTGACCCACGAAGGTGATGTAAGGCGGCCCAGCACCCTCTCCCCACTGGGCAGTCATCCATGTGAATGTCCTCTGTGTTCACATCACAGGACATTCACTCTTCCTTTCCCGATGAGTGTCCACTGAATACACGCACTACACCAAGAAAATCAGATCATATTTAGACCTTCAAAGAGCTTAAAACCCAGAATAATATAAAAACACACGGCCAAGGTAAATACAGAGAAAACACCCAATTGTTTTTAACATGATGTGTCCAACAGCCAGTGTGGGCGTTGACTGTTTCCCGGAGGAGCAAGCTGTCTGTGGTGACTGCATCTCTAGCTAACCCGCTGACACCCAGTCAACCCACATCAGTGATGAGAAATCACCCGTATGGCCAATACCGTCCTCTCAGCTACCCCCACCTGTGTCTTGGTGAGGTCTGTGGGAAAGACAGCAGGGCTCCTCTCAGCGTCCGCATTTCACAAGTGAATGTGCAGGCTTACAGAAAGTTATAAGACTTGCACAAGGTCATGCATCTTATACTGGTGAAGCGATAAGTCACAGGTCTCACATTGAGTGAAAAGAGAAGGGAGAGAACTCCATCCCCCAGGCTCGCTCCCTGCTCTGCCCCTGGGACTCCGGGTAGAGAAGGCGGGGGCCACCCCTACCAGGCAACACCACATGTGTTGGGGTGAGGGGACACTGGTGGTCAGAGAGCAGAACAGTTGTGGCCAGAGTGTCTCCACTGTGCCTGAGGCTGCCTGCCAAAGTTGCCCCCACATGCTAAGCCAAGCGCGGTGGCTCACACCTATAATCCCAGCATTTTGGGACGCCAAGGTGGGCGAATTACTTGAAGTCAGGAGTTAGAGACCAGCCTGGCTAACATGGTGAAACC